TATGCCCACAGAGGATGCTGGAGCACAAAAGAAATATTTGGACGTCAGAGTTGATTTATATTTTTGGAAGCGCTCCGTTTCCTTTTCTGAAGAGAAGCAAGCGCGCCCCATATCCTGAGCCCAGCGGGGAGGGCAGAGTGGCGTTTTGATGCTCCGGAAGTGGCTCTGTGGGCCCCGGGGCGCATGGCCCCAGTACCCCTCTCCTGGGAGTCCGCTGCCCTCAGCGAAATCTGTGTATTTGAGAAGGAGGCAGGCAAATGGACACAGGCCAGCCTCAAGGAGAGAACTGGAGGGGGACTTCCAGGATCTCCCCTCTCCCTAGGCAGGCCGTGGTTCCGACCCGCGGGTGCACTCCTCTCGGCCCTGCGCCGCCCTGTAGACACCTCGCTGGCCCTGTGCCCAGCCACCCCTCGAAGGCCCGCATGACCTGCCAGTTCCCTTCCCCTGGAGAGGAGGGGTCCCAAGGCCTGGGGCCAAGAGGCCCTAGACCTAGGGGGTCTTGCCCTGAGGCGGCCAGGTCTGAGAGCCATTATCATCCTGTTTCTGTCTCATCTGAAGCTCCATCTGTCCTGCACCTAAAGCTTACCATTCCCTGTCGGCAGCCCTTCGGGTCAAGGAGCTAAAGTTCTGCAGAGGTCCCTACCTGCACTTGCTTTTGCCTTCCTCCCAATACTGAACACTGGGGGACAGGAGTCTCCTTTCAAGTTCCTTCCTCACAGGTAGCCCTTTCTTCTGGCCACCTTTGCCCTGCTTCCGGGCATCACAGCTGCCTACTGGGCAGAGCGGCCTTCCCTCTGGCAGAAACTAGACCCTCAACTCCCACCACTCATAAACTCAGTGGGCGCACCTCACACAGCAGTTCCGGGGGAAACCTCCCCACTGGTCTGTGCCTGTGGACAGGTGGATGGGCTCCCTTGAGCACCCCAGGCTGCAGGCTGCCAACCTGGGTCCTCACAATTTGAAAAGTACAGGGACAGGGAATATGGACTCTTCTCCATGGAACCTTTGTGTCCCTTCTGCACCCCTGCACCTGGCCAAGTGGGTGATCGGGTAGTGCCTACCACCAGGCCAAGAAATCTGGGGCCTGTCTCAGGAAGGTGGCTATAAAAAGAGCCTTTCTCGGGACACAGACTGGAAAGCGGAAGAATCTATCCAAATAAACATTTGGAATTGGGTGGCTGGTGTTCTAACCCGGAGGTCTGGAGGGTTCTGGGCGGAGGAAGGAGAGCAGACGTCGAGACGGTGTAAAATCCCCACTGATAGCCTCCTCACGCCATTCCCCTCCCCAAGGCCAGCCTACACACCTTATCCCCAGCCACGGCTTGTCTATCATATAGAGACAGCTGTGCCATGCAGGCTGTTGGCCCCCATCATTTCCTCAAGCACACAGGCACCCCAAGGCACTGTCTCCACGCCACGCTGACAGGGCTCGAAAGAGCTCCAAACCCCTTTGTGCAAATTAACGTCAGCCCGTCACAGACGTAACTTCAAAGTACTCTCTTCTTCGCTGAGCACAAACGGACAGAAGCAAGAGCACATTTGAGTACCAAGTGCTCAGAGAGAGAGATCTTAGATGGCTATAAACTATATTCCCATTCGGATGTGCCTCTCTCCGAGGTGACTGCTTTAGTCTAAGACTGCCAAGCAGAGGGCGTATGCTCAGAACATAAAATACAAACCACAGTATCGAAGAGAGTTCCTAGAAGAGAGCGCAGATCACAAAACAAAATCCAAGAAACCAAAGCCCCCGTAGCTCACATTCCCTGCTCTGGAGCAGGGGCGGAGTCTTCGGGCTGGGAGCGCGAGAGGAATTCCCAGCTCAGACTAGACAAAGGGCGCGGGTGGTGGAGGATACCGAGGCAGGACGGCCCGCACCTTTGCTGAGGGCTCTATTTTAATCAGGGGGCACTTGGGCTGATAATTGTGTAAGCAAACTACACCTTTCCTTCCAGCTGGGGGGCGGGGGTGGAATAAAGATTTTCAACTTCTTTTCATCACATCAATGAAATTTCATTAAATCAATCAGTGAAGGTCAGCCCGCTCAGCTCATAGATGGAGAGGTCCCTGACCAAGGAAGAAGAATCTATTTCTGCAATAAATAAATGCAAAGTTCCTTTTCAAAAACGAATACTTTTCCTTTTAACTACCGCTCAGTAGAAATGAATTTTTTTTTTTCTTGCTTGGAATCTAAGCAATTCTGACTTGGTTTGTTACCATATTAATTCTTACTTAGTAGAGACCTGTTTAATTCTGTGACTGAAATGAAACAAAATTCAGAGACCTTTTCCAGGGATGTGTCGGAAGCAGCTCTAAGTCCGGGCACTCGGTTCCACTCTCAAAAGGGGCGACAGTGTCCAGGCCTGTGTCCTATGTGGTCTTTGGTAAGCACGAGAGGACCTTGTTCTTTCCAGTCCTGATAGTCTCTGCCAGGGAAAGAATTTCCACAGGCAACCTGGGGTCCTGAGAAGGTTGTGGAGGCACCTTTCCTGATTAGAAACCTAAGCAAGTCACCAACCCCTTGTCTTCCTGTGTGCAGGGATTTCCGAGCAGCATTTAGAGCCCTAGAGAGAAGAAAACTCCACGTTGTCAAATACTGTGCCCTGCTGGGGCCCCAACTCCCCACTTTGCCTATTGCCACTCAGGATGTATCGGTTGTAATGGATACTATGATCGCTTGGATGGTGAAAGAAGACTTAAAATCCCTGATATTTCAATCAGTTGAACTGTTAAGAGAGAAAATCTATGTTTAAGAGGAGTTACTAAAGAGCTTTAACTTTGGAAATTCTATGGACTTCCAAGATCCCATGGGAAATGAGACTTTCCCCCATTCCCACCCCCAGGAGTTAGGTTCCACACTTTCATCATATTCTCCCTAAGACTTAAGGTCCAGAAAATTTGGAAACTGCTGGTAGAGAATGTAGTCACTGACCCTGCCTACATTTTAGACTTAGCTGCATCTTTCATGCTTCAGTCTCTGGGTTCTAACACCTTTTAGGGTGTACTGTGAAAGCAGGCACACCTTTGAGACCCCAGGTCTGTACAGCTCCCAAAGGGGGGCATTTGCTGGGGACAGGGATACTGACTTGCTGAATGCTCCCAAACTAATTCCTACTATGCAGATGAAGCAGCCTCCCTTCTCCAGGGCTCTCGAGGGGCCTTTCTTCTTATTTCTATTTCTGGAGCTTTTTTCAGACATTATGTGTCCTCCTCATTCCAGTTTCTATTTCACATAAATAGTTGTTTTTAGGCATTTTAAGCATTGATTTTATTTGGTGGCTACTTTGGATTTCTATTTGATATTCAGTTAATTATATTTAAACATTTCCATGTAAGATATAACCAAAAGGGATAGGGGGGAGGGGAATAAACAAAAATTAAAAAATAAACAAAAGGGGTCCTATTCATACATACCAAATAAGATCACCATTCAAGTCAACAAGAAATTCTTAAAAAGTTGAGTCAACTGCATAGTCCATACCCCAACCCAATCAAAACAACCTACCCAGAAAAGAGCAAGTCCTTTCTTTCTCCCCCCTCCCCACAATGGAAATGAGCGGTAAACTGAGTTCAGTTTGGCCATGTTTTCTTAGCTGATTCTCAGCTACAATCAAGCCATTTTCGGACACATTCCCATGTAGGTACCAGGGGTGCTCTGGAGGAAGCTGTCGACGCCTGTTCAGCTAATTTAGGTTTTCTTTGTCTAATTACTGTGGAGCTTGGGGAAAAGGAGCGGGCTCAGGGCAGTAAACTGACACTTGGTCTCTGTGTGTGGTATCCAGACAGGGTTTGATGGGAAAAGCCTGCTTCCACTCAATTTCAGGTCACTGTCTGAGGCCAGCCCAGCCCAGCCCCCAGCTTCCCTCTGCCACATCCCTTCTTCTCTCCTACAGCCCCTCCTGCACGCTCATCCAGGGTTGGTCCCTCCGGTGGTCCAGAAGTACAGGCAACTGGCACAGGCCGAGGCTCCGTCCCACTCGAGACTCCCTTCCTTCTACCCTAGACTTTTGCAAAAGCATACCTTCTCGTGCTTGCCACTCCTCAGGGTCCCCAAGACACACACTGAGCACCTGGGGCCTTGGACAGACACCAGGGTCAGCCCCTGGCCCCCAGGGCAGCACCTCCCTGCGCAGAGCCTGTAAGTCCAGCCCGCTCCCACCTCCTCCTAGCCCCTAGCCCTGGTCAGACGGCATTTCCTTGCACGTGTAATCCAATAACTAACTGTCGGGACTCATTGGGAATGATTTCTCCGGAGGGCACATCCTCCCGCCCAGCCTGGCTCTTAAGAGAGGAATTCGCCATAACGGGGGTGTGAGTTCTCCCGCGGGAATGGCGCACGTTTTGGGTGGGTAGTTATGAGGGTAAGGATGTACACCCAAGTGACAGTGTCACATCCTAGAATTACTGGACATGAGCACAGCAATTACACTTTTGGAAAAAAGTATCCTGGTGGCGCAGTGGTCAGGTGCTGGGCTGCTAGCGCAAGGAGGGTCCTGAGAACCTTGAGAGAAAGACATGGAAATCCGTTGAAAGATTCCAACCCTAAGCACCCCACGGCTCACTTCTACTCTGTGCTTGGATTCTACTTGACAGCAACGGGTTTCGTTTTGCAAGGGTTTCATTTCATATATTTTAGATTCTAGTTGGCCCTCTTCTTCGTTTTTTTGGTTTTGGTTTTGCTGGGGGTTTTTAACAAAACATCTTGTGGAAAACGAAAAGACAGCAGAAGCAAATGCAAACATGACTTCAGATTTCCAGAGTCCCTGAGCCCTGTGTTAAGTTTCTATGTCAGAATCCCTCTGCTCCAGAGGCAACAACGCCCAGGATGGTCCGGGGCAGCCACCCGGGGGCTGGACGCCCTGGCTCTGGCCCTCTCTCTGCTAACTAACTGTCACGGAGTCTACAGCCCCCGCCAGAAACAGAGAGGGTTATTGGCACGTTACCTTTGGGCGCCCGGCCCCCGGGAGCTGGGGGCTGCCATGCCTAAGTGAAGTTGACAAATGATGAGGGTGCCGGCCCCAGGGAAGGCCGCTGGGGAGGCTCCGGCGGCAGCGGCGTCTGCGGCGGCCCCGGGCGAGGCCGGCGGAGGAGGCAGGGCGGGAGGAGGGGCGGGAGGGGGCGGGGGTCCCCCCACTGTGGCGGCCGCTTTCTAGGGTGAGGAGTGAGGCTACTAAGAGAAGAGGTGCCCTAAACAGACAGATAGGGGTCGGGTTTTTCTCGGGTGGGGTCGCCGGGCCGGCCAAAAGTAGGCTGGGTAGGGTGGGGAAAAGGCTGGAGGCAGCGGGAAGAGTTAAAAGGCGGCGGAGACCCCGCGCGGGGAGAGCGATAAGGGGGCGCGGGCCCGGGAGGGGGCGGGGCG